AGAAGATGGAGGCAGGACCAGGAGACAAGCAGAGGTCAAATCAAATCGACCAAATCGGCAGGCAGAGCAAGTCCAGGAAACAAGTCGGGGTCAGTAACAACAGGGCAAAGTAGTACAGAAACAGCAGGCAAAGACCAGTAGACAGGCCAGGGTCAGAGCAATCGGATGAACATGATGGAGGCAAGACCAGAAGCAAAGTCCAAGGGGAAGCCAGGTCATACACAGGTAAGCAGGTTCAGTGGATCAGGTCTCAGGGACACAATAACAAGCTCAAGACTATTCAGCAACTGTTAACAGTGACAGACCAGTTTAAATAGGCCACTGGGACACTAAGTGCTCACTCTAACTGGTATGCACACATGCACGTGCTGGCTCGCACAGGAACGTGAGCATGACAGAATGAAATAGTACATCTAACATTGCCTCTTCGCTTAGAAGTATGAGCATGTGTGCAATGTACACACGCATGACCAGGCTCACACTGGTTTTATGGTGCTGGGAATCCAGTTTACCTTACAGGTACATTCTCCACATGACAGTGCCCAGATTCCTATGCTATAGACTTCAGAGGGGTTTCATGCTAAGTTCAGGTTATGCAGACATCATGCAGGGTTTGAGAAATGCGAACCCCCCCCCCCCCCCCCCACACACCATCACCATGAATTGAACTCAGGCAGATTCACTCATCCCTTTATGTAACCTTATATACAAGAAGGAACGAGGAGATGCTAGTAGAGCAAGTCATATAAATGTACAAGCTTGTAATACTTTGCAACATTCAAATATGTCCTCCAATTTAGAAAAGAGTCACATTGTAAAAAATAGTTCAGATGTTATACTTCACAGTAAGATTCCATTACTGGGTGAGAATGATAATCTATGAATATAAACCATTGGAATTCACTGTTATGTACTACATCAATAGATCTTTTTTGCTTTATTGCTGATCCAGGAAGTGTTTCAGTCTTATGCTGGTATGATATATTTTTATAGCATCTAGCATATCTTTGTGCAGAGGGAATCCTGAATATATTTGTAAAACAAACCTCTGTAGAGTTTCAAATGGCGTACAGTGCCTTGAAAAAGTATTCATACCCCTTGAAATTTTCTACATTTTGTCATGTTACAACCAAAAACGTAAAAGTATTTTATTGGGATTTTAGGTGATAGACAAACACAAAGTTACACATAATCGTGAAGTGGAAGGAAAATGATAAATGGTTTTCAACATTTTTTACAAATAAATATCTGAAAAGTGTGGCATGCATTTGTATTCAGCCCCCCTGAATCAATACTTTGAAGAATCACCTTTCACTGCAATTAGAGCTGCAAGTCATTTTGGGGATGTCTTTACCAGCTCCACATCTACAGTGAAAATTTTCCCATTCTTTGCAAAATAGCTCAAGCTCTGTCAGATTGGATGGAGAGCATTTTTAAGTCTTGCCTCAGATTCTGAATTGGATTTAAGTCTGGACTTTGACTGGGCTATTCCAACACATGAATATGCTTTGATATAAACCATTCCACTGTAGCTCTGGCTGTATGTTTAGAGTCATTGTCCTGCTGGAAGGTGAACCTCCACCTCAGTCTCAAGTCTTTTGCAGACTCTAACAGGTTTTCTTCTAAGATTGCCCTGTATTTCACTCCATCCCTCTTCCTATCAACTCTGACCAGCTTCCCTGTCCCTGCTGAAGAAAAGCATCCTCACAACATGATGCTGCCACCACCATGTTTCACGGTAGTGATGGTGTGTTCAGGGTGATGTACAGTGTTAGTTTTCCACCACACAGCATTTTTTGCGTTTAGGCCAAAAAGTTACATTTTGGTCTCATGTGACCAGAACATCTTCTTCCACATGTTTGCTGTGTCCCCCTCATGGCTTCCAACAAACTGCAAATGGGACTTCTTATGACTTTCTTTCAACAATGGCTTTCTTTTTGCCACTCTTCCATAAAAGCCAGATTTGTGGAGTGCACGACTAATAGTTGTCCTGTGGACAGATTCTCCCACCTGAGCTGTGGATCTCTGCAGCTCCTTCAGAGTTACCATGGGCCTCTTGGCTGCTTTTCTGATGCTCTAATGCCCTCCATGCCTGGCCTGTCAATTTAGGTGGATGACCATGTCTTGGTAGGTTTTGCAGTTATGCCATACTCTTTCCATTTTCAGCTGATAGATTGAACAGTGCTCCATGAGATGTTCAAAGCTTGGGATAGTTTTGTATAACCTAACCCTGCTAAAAATGTCTTCACAACTTTATCCCTGACCTGTCTGGTGTGTTCCTTGGCCTTTATGATGCTGTTTGTTCACTACTATTCTCTAAAAAACCTCAGAGGGCTTCACAGAACAGCTGTATTTATACTGTGATTACATTACACACAGGTGGACTCTATTTACTAGGTAGGTGACTTCTGAAGGCAATTGGTTCCAATAGATTTTAGTTAGGGGTAACAGAGTAAAGGGGAATGAATACAAATGCACGCCACACTTTTCAGATATTTATTTGTAAAAAATTTTTTAAAACCATTTATCATTTCCTTCCACTTCACAATTATGTGCTGATTTGTGTTGATGTATCACATAAAATCCCAATCAAATACATTTACGTTTTTGGTTGTAACATCACAAAATGTGGAAAATTTATAAGAGGTATGAATACTTTTTCAAGTCACTGGATCTATGTGCCATATTCAAAATAGTTTTTTCTCAGATAGGTTAATATAAATTAGTTTTTTTTAAGATTTCCGCTGATAAAAGGATATTAATCTAATAAATTTATGCTATTTGGTCATCATATTATTCTAACTCTTAGGAGATTTTAAATAAAATGATATATCAGAAGCGTTGAAGTTTTGGTTTGGTTATATCTCTCCTATTGTATCTGAAACAGGATAGTTAGAAGCCAAAAACGTCCAACTAGCCTGGTGTAATGATACCAGGGGACAAACATATGTGTAACAGGGTATGGACAGTTGTCGATACAGCAAAGACCATAAAGCTTGTGTCAAAAACATAGTGCAGAACCATGCCAGGGTGCAGAGAATAGGTCAAGGTGGTCAGCATTCAAAACAGGTCAAAGTTAGCAATATAAACAGTCTAGTCCAAACGGTCACACTAATTAGAAAAAAAAGGTGTCTCTAAGGTTTGGTGCCCTTTTAAAGCCAGACAGCCAATCAGAGAATAAACAGATACCCAATAAAGTAATAGCCAAGTGCATAAGTGGGTGAAAAGGACACAGAAAAGGCATGGGGTGCCAAGAGGCAAAAGGAACTGAGCAGGCAAGATCCTCACATAAACCACTTGCCCTCCAGAGGATATACCCCCCCCTTCCTGACCAGGCCATTTTTTGTGATACAGCCTGTATTATTTTAACTGAAAATTGCGTGGTCATGCAACGCTGCACTCAAAATAAATTTAAGTCCATTTTTTCCCACAAATAGAGCTTTCTTTCAGTGGTATTTGATCACCTCTGCATGTTTTATTTTTTGTGCTATAAACAAAAAAAATAACAATTCTGAGAAAAAAACAATATTTTTGACTTTATGCTATTAAACATGTCCAGTGAAAAAATTTTAAAAATCTAATTTTCGTCATAAATTTAGGCCAAAATGTATTTTGCTACATGATCAAGAAAAACAGAAAATAAGCGAGCGCTTGAAATAGATATAATGAGCAGCGGCTGTACACCAAAAGGCACCGTATCAAACCTTCAGGGACATAAATATAAAAAAGGGGGTGCAGCGCTACATATCTTAGCAAAATGATAGATCAAACACAGATAATAAACAATAAAACAGTGACTGTGTGCTAATAGAGCCACTGAATGGTGGCTATGAAGTGAAGGAAGTGAAACAGTCCAATGGAGGAGTGCTCTTAAGATCCAGGATGATCCTCAGACGTCCAATATTAGGAACCGTCAGGTGATAAAAAATGTAAAGACTGCGCACTCACCAGATACGCAATCTTTATGCGCATTTGTGTATAATATCACTGGACCTCCTGTGTCATCATCCTGGTCTGGTCAAATCTGGTCAGCATATCCTCCCTTGCCTGATATCCGGATAGATGCAGCTATTCCATGGATCTGGCTGGCTCCCACCAGAACTCAAATAAACAGAAAAGGCCACATAGTGTGATATCCTCAGGTATCTTTATTGTAGGCAAAGGATAGCAGGAAAACCAACATGTAAAAAATTACTGACCCAGATGCAAATCAAAGATGGCCGCCGAAGGCTCGTACTCATAGGGGTGCAGCTTACGGTAAGCTGCACCCCTATGAGTACGAGCCTTCGCTCGAAACGCGTCAGGGAGAGCTACAGCAGGTTGGACGCTTCTTCACCGCCGGCCACACCACGAGGGGCCCCGGCGGCCATCTTTGATTTGCATCTGGGTCAGTAATTTTTTACATGTTGGTTTTCCTGCTATCCTTTGCCTACAATAAAGATACCTGAGGATATCACACTATGTGGCCTTTTCTGTTTATTTGAGTTCTGGTGGGAGCCAGCCAGATCCATGGAATAGCTGCATCTATCCGGATATCAGGCAAGGGAGGATATGCTGACCAGATTTGACCAGACCAGGATGATGACACAGGAGGTCCAGTGATATTATACACAAATGCGCATAAAGATTGCGTATCTGGTGAGTGCGCAGTCTTTACATTTTTTATCACCTGACGGTTCCTAATATTGGACGTCTGAGGATCATCCTGGATCTTAAGAGCACTCCTCCATTGGACTGTTTCACTTCCTTCACTTCATAGCCACCATTCAGTGGCTCTATTAGCACACAGTCACTGTTTTATTGTTTATTATCTGTGTTTGATCTATCATTTTGCTAAGATATGTAGCGCTGCACCCCCCTTTTTATATTTTGCTACATGTCTTTGCTAAAAAAAATCCCAATATGTGTAAATTAATTGGTTTATGTGAAAGTTATAGCATCTACAAATGGCGGTATATTCTGGAATTTTTTTTTGTTTTTTCTACTAGTAATGGCAGTGATCAGCAACTTATAGAGGGACTGTGGGACTGAGGTGGGCATTCTGACACTGGGGGGAACTGACTTGGTGTCACTAATATCCCCAGTGACACCAATACAGTGATCAGTGCTAATAAAAAGCACTGTCAATGTACTAATGGCACTGGGCAGGAAGGGTTAACATGTGGGGCGATCAAAGGGTTAACTGTGTGCTGTTTCACAGTATGCTGTGTGAGTGCTTTCAACTGTAAGCACACTGCTTTGTATGGCTCTGCTATGCAGAACCATACAAAGCAGTGTGCAGGAGCTGACAGGGGAAAGATCTGTGTTGTTTATACACAGGTCTGTCCCCCGTTGGAGATAGTCGACGATCACTGAGTACTGGCGAGAAGAATCACCAGCCGGGACCTGGTGATTGATAGCTGAGGCCACGAATGGCGTATATATACGTGATTTTGCTCACCCGTGCCACCCTGTAGCAGGATTTCTGCTATAGAGTGGCACAGAAGCGATTAAAGTTTATTTTTTGTTTTTGTTATATGAGACACTGAGATATAATTATTTATCAAAATAACCAAATAAGTGTCTGTGCTTTATCTCAACTTGGAAAGCTCTGGATGCAAACATACTAAAAATGTGTTGGGATGGCTTATAAAGCTATGGAAGTTAGGGGATTTATGTTTCTTTTGTTAATTAATGTAAACATTTATACTTTTCTCAGTAAAAAAAGAAATTAAATGCATCAAGACCAGCAAAAGAAACTAAAAAAGTCATGTTAATCTAGGTAGACACAAAAATGGAAAAGATCATGTAAAGTGATACTTTGCTGTAAAGATTATGCTTTACTTGTAGATATATTTGAATTCGTTATGTCTGGGTTTGCTACGTATGTGTATGTTTTACAACATTCTGCATTCTGTTTCACATGCCAGTCATTTCAACTGTTACGAAAGCTTGGTAAACCGATACCCTTACTGTAGCAGTACCTGTCACACATCATGCTGGTAACACATCATTGTAACAAAAGACCCTCACAACTGACAATGTGTATCTTCATCTGTTTACTTTGACATAAACTCAAATTAATGAGATGTTAAGACCATCTATTAGCTCTGTTTTTACTACACAGAATCAACTTTGACACTTGACTTGATGGGATTTATTGGCATTTAATGATGGAAACAGTTAGGGAAAGAGCAGAATACAAGGGCTACCAACTGAAAAAACAAAATGGGACTTTTTCTTGTGTTATAAATCAACTCATTGAGTTTTGTGCAAAGTAGAGTGACAAACAATTACATTGTTTTCAACACCTCTTTTCTTCACCTTCTTTTTAACTATGGTTGCCAAGGAATAATTGCTTGTGCTGAAATTGGCTTCTAGAAATTGGCTTCACAAATCCCATTCAAACTGTACTGGCAATTGTCTGTTTCTGTTTTCCCAGATAATTTTTCCACTCCTCCTACCTCCACTAAAGGTGTACTTAGACATGATATGACATGTCTATTTTGGGTGGATGGGGAGACAATTCCATGTCTAAATCAGCCCGCATGCACTGTTACCTGACACTCCTCAGGACAGGAGACTGTGTGATCAGAAAGGTTTGGAAACCCCATCTGATTGCTACTGGTTCCCCTAGATAAGCTTGCATTGACAGTGTCTGTAGGTGCTTTCACATGCTTTGCCAAGCAGAGCATTCATGTTTATGGAGCTGTTGCCAAACATAGATGATGCTTGCACATTTGACAAATATCAGAAAGTGATTAAACCAGCACATCATCTAAGCTCAACTTGAAACATAACTTTTTTGTAGGACCCATCCACACCAGAATGTGGAGTAGGAAAGGCTCATTCTGTGTTCGGTTCCTGCAACGCACTGCCCTAGCAAGATTTGCGTGGGTGCCAACTAGTTGTTAATGGCACTAAACACAGCATATTGAGGTTTGGTGCAGCACAATCTGAAAAATTGGTGCTTGCCCTACTTTTTCTGTGTTCCAGTACATTTGATAGCCCATGGCAAAATTAATGGGCTGTCGAAACTGCAACATGCAAGACCACACAGGAACATGTATGTGACGGGAGTCACTTTGGGTGGTGGGCCCATGGAACCCAGCTAACTTGAGAGAGGTGGGAGACCCCTGTCTCAGCTCCCCATATCCCTCTTATGTGTAAGTCACCCTGTGCCTGCTAGGGGTACAGGGTGATCTGTCCTAATATTGGGGGGGTGGGGGGTTGTTGATTGTTTAATGCTATGTGGTTGCATCCCATTGTTCTATTGTGTGTCTTGCTTGGGAGCAAACAATTATGGGATGTATGTGTTTATGGGTATTGGCTTGGGTGGGGGGTGTCTCCAGCAGCCCTCCCTCCTGAAGGGACTGTCTGTTGGTGTGTCTCTTGTTACTAAAGGTAGATTGCCCCACCTTGTGACATTATGCAGGGGGGGGTATTGTCCCCTTGAGTTTATATATCTTGTATCTGTGTTAAAATAAAGTAGTTGTCAGGGCTCCGGGTGTGACCAGAGGTGTGTGAACTGACACAGGGAAACGCAAGCTTCAGATATGTTATAAATAAGACAATTTATTAAAGACTAACAATACAAACATAAACGCAGTGCACCAAACCCCAAGCTAACACAAATACATACAACAAGGTGAAACAAACCTAAACCTAAACTGATACAGATACACAGGTACATACACATATAGAGCACAACGTAATCAGGCAGGCCGGGTCAATAACTATCGGGCAGGTAGGTACAGGAGGAGCAGGCGGAGAGAATGGTCAGGGTCACAAGCCAGGGATCAAACAAGAGAAGTCAGCAGAGGTCAGGATCAGGCAGGGTCGGCAACGAATCAGTCAGACAGGACCAGGACCAGGAACAGGAATGCAGGTAACAAGATACAGGGGCCCATAGAAAAAAACACACCAAGGCACAGACTGCAGGTCTGGCCATCCCCTTAAATACACCTCAGTAATCAGCTTCAGGTGTTTGGCTGGCTGCAGGGTTGAGTCTCTGATTGCTGAGAGCACCCACTGGCCAGCCCTGGTACTGCAGCCCACAAGGCAGGTGAGTCCCACCATTACTGGCAAGTCCATTCCTGACAGTACCCCCCCCCCTCAAGGAGCGGCCTCAGGACGCTCCTAAACAGTCCTAGCTGGGCAAAAAAATGTTCCGCCCGGGTCTGGTAACTGGCGGGATATCAAAGACTGGCACATCGGGCCGGACTCCGGGCAGCGGCACATCGGGCCGGACTCCGGGCAGCGGCACATCGGGCCGGACTCCGGGCAGCGGCACATCGGGCCGGGACTCCGGGCAGCGGCACATCGGGCCAGACACCGGATCACGGATCACAAGGCGGAGCTGCAGGCACCGGGCCCCCAGGCGGAGCGGCAGGCACCGGGCCCCCAGGCGGAGCGGCGGGCACCGGGCCCCCCAGGCGGGGCGGCGGGCACCGGGCCCCCAGTGGGCAGAGCGGCGGGCACCGGGTCATCAGGCACGACAGCGGGCATCGGGTCACCAGGCATCAGGTCATTTGGCTCACAGCGGGCACCGCGTCATCTGGCAAGGCAGTGGGCACCGAGTCACCAGGCATGACAGTGGGCTCCGAGTCAACTGGCATGACCGCGGGCACTGGGTCATCAGACATTGGATCGTCTGGCTCGACAGCGGGCATCGGGTCACCAGGCATCAGGTCATTTGGCTCGACAGCGGGCACCATGTCATCTGGCAAGGCAGTGGGCACCGAGTCACCAGGCACGACAGTGGGCTCTGAGTCAATTGGCACGACAGCAGGCACCGGGTCATCAGATACCGGATTGTCTGGATCGACAGCGGGCACCGGGTCACCTGGCGTTGGATCATCTGGATCGACAGCGGGCACCGGGTCATCTGGCGTTGGATCGTCTGGCTCGACAGCGGGCATCGGGTCACCAGGCATGACAGCGGGCACTGGGTCATCAGGTACCGGAACATCTGGATCGACAGCGGGCACTGGGTCATCTGGCGTTGGATCGTCTGGCTCGATCAGTTCATCAGGCTGGGTACAGACATCAGGCTGGGTAGAGACATCAGGCTGAAGTGCGGGTGCCGAGGCACCAGGCTGAACCACGGAAGGCAGGTTCTCAGACGGCAGGCTCACCGGTTTGGATACTGGCAGGATGGTACTGGTTGGAAAGAATTTTCGCTTTTTTCTGGTTTTAACTACTGGAGCACTGCAAGTAAACGCAGGTCTGCAAACGAATGGAGCAGCTGAGGACAGAGAAGAGCTGGAAGATGGAACAGAGGAGGGAGAACCTCTCCACAGGGCCAAAGAAAGGATAGGTGCAGCGAGTGGGAGCAGGGGACTGGTATGTGGTAGTTAGCAGAGTATACTGGGGGTGCTGTTGGGGATGCAGGAAGAGTGCCTTGAGCAGAGGAATGATGTTGCAAGCTGACTGAGGCTGGGTGCAACAAGTCTGACCATGTCTGCAGTATGGGTTGAACAAAGCTGAGCTTACACAAAGCCTGTCTGGTCAAAGACTGCACTGCGTTTTATACAATCCCTTAATACCTGTGGTGAACATGCAGCATAATGCTCCAAGAAGCAATCCACATCATCCTCCAATAAACCATACCAGGGACTCTACCTGGTCTGCACTAAATGGTGGCAAAAAGTCATTCCTGCTTTCAGGGGTACCAGATGAAGCCAACTCTACACAAACCTGAATCAAAGGTTGCACCTCAGAGAACTCTGTGCCCTGATCTACTAGAACATGAGCGATCCGTATACGTTCTAGCAGTTGATCCCGGGGGTATACTCCCTCAGAGTCTGATAAGCATATTCTCTGTCATCAAAAACCAGCAGCGACAAATACACAACCTCATCAAGATCCATCCTTCCCAGCAACAAGCCAAGATGGCTTCCCTGTGCAGCCACTTCTGGTCAGGATTGGCCTTGGTGTAATGTCAGGGCTCCGGGTGTGTGACCAGATGTGTGTGAACTGACACAGGGAAACGCAAGCTTCAGATATGTTATAATATAAGACAATTTATTAAAGACTAACAATACAAACATAAAACGCAGTGCACCAAACCCCAAGCTAACACAAATACATACAACAAGGTGAAACAAACCCAAACCTAAACTGATACAGATACACAGGTACATACACATATAGAGCACAACGTAATCAGGCAGGCCGGGTCAATAACTATCGGGCAGGTAGGTACAGGAGGAGCAGGCGGAGAGAATGGTCAGGGTCACAAGCCAGGGATCAAACAAGAGAAGTCAGCAGAGGTCCGGATCAGGCAGGGTCGGCAACGAATCAGTCAGACAGGACCAGGACCAGGAACAGGAATGCAGGTAACAAGATACAGGGGCCCATAGAAAAAAAACACACCAAGGCACAGACTGCAGGTCTGGCCATCCCTTAAATACACCTCAGTAATCAGCTTCAGGTGTTTGGCTGGCTGCAGGGTTGAGTCTCTGATTGCTGAGAGCACCCGCTGGCCAGCCCTGGTACTGCAGCCCACAAGGCAGGTGAGTCCCACCATTACTGGCAAGTCCATTCCTGACAGTACCCCCCCCCCCCTCAAGGAGCGGCCTCAGGACGCTCTAAACAGTCCTAGCTGGGCAAAAATGTTCCGCCCGGGTCTGGTAACTGGCGGGATATCAAAGACTGGCACATCGGGCCGGGACTCCGGGCAGCGGCACATCGGGCCGGACTCCGGGCAGCGGCACATCGGGCCGGACTCCGGGGCAGCGGCACATCGGGCCGGACTCCGGGCAGCGGCACATCGGGCCGGACTCCGGGCAGCGGCACATCGGCCCGGGCAGCGGCACATCGGGCCAGACACCGGATCACAAGGCGGAGCTGCAGGCACCGGGCCCCCAGGCGGAGCGGCAGGCACCGGGCCCCCAGGCGGAGCGGCGGGCACCGGGCCCCCAGGCGGGGCGGCGGGCACCGGGCCCCCAGGCGGAGCGGCGGGCACCGGGTCATCAGGCACGACAGCGGGCATCGGGGTCACCAGGCATCAGGTCATTTGGCTCACCAGCGGGCACCGTGTCATCTGGCAAGGCAGTGGGCACCGAGTCACCAGGCATGACAGTGGGCTCCGAGTCAACTGGCATGACCGCGGGCACTGGGTCAGACATTGGATCGTCTGGCTCGACAGCGGGCATCGGGTCACCAGGCATCAGGTCATTTGGCTCGACAGCGGGCACCATGTCATCTGGCAAGGCAAGTGGGCACCGAGTCACCAGGCACGACAGTGGGCTCTGAGTCAATTGGCACGACAGCAGGCACCGGGTCATCAGGTACCGGATTGTCTGGATCGACAGCGGGCACCGGGTCACCTGGCGTTGGATCATCTGGATCGACAGCGGGCACCGGGTCATCTGGCGTTGGATCGTCTGGCTCGACAGCGGGCATTGGGTCACCAGGTATGACAGCGGGCACCGGGTCATCAGGTGCGGGATCATCTGGATCGACAGCGGGTACCGGGTCATCTGGCGTTGGATCGTCTGGCTCGACAGCGGGCATCGGGTCACCAGGCATGACAGCGGGCACTGGGTCATCAGGTACCGGAACATCTGGATCGACAGCGGGCACTGGGTCATCTGGCGTTGGATCGTCTGGCTCGATCAGTTTATCAGGCTGGGTACAGACATCAGGCTGGGTAGAGACATCAGGCTGAAGTGCGGGTGCCGAGGCACCAGGCTGAACCACGGAAGGCAGGTTCTCAGACGGCAGGCTCACCGTTTTTGGATACTGGCAGGATGGTACTGGTTGGAAAGAATTTTCGCTTTTTTCTGGTTTTAACTACTGGAGCACTGCAAGTAAACGCAGGTCTGCAAACGAATGGAGCAGCTGAGGACAGAGAAGAGCTGGAAGATGGAACAGAGGAGGGAGAACCTCTCCACAGGGCCAAAGAAAGGATAGGTGCAGCGAGTGGGAGCAGGGGACTGGTATGTGGTAGTTAGCAGAGTATACTGGGGGTGCTGTTGGGGATGCAGGAAGAGTGCCTTGAGCAGAGGAATGATGTTGCAAGCTGACTGAGGCTGGGTGCAACAAGTCTGACCATGTCTGCAGTATGGGTTGAACAAAGCTGAGCTTACACAAAGCCTGTCTGGTCAAAGACTGCACTGCGTTTATACAATCCCTTAATACCTGTGGTGAACATGCAGCATAATGCTCCAAGAAGCAATCCACATCATCCTCCAATAACCATACCAGGGACTCTACCTGGTCTGCACTAAATGGTGGCAAAAAGTCATTCCTGCTTTCAGGGGTACCAGATGAAGCCAACTCTACACAAACCTGAATCAAAGGTTGCACCTCAGAGAACTCTGTGCCCTGATCTACTAGAACATGAGCGATCCGTATACGTTCTAGCAGTTGATCCCGGGTATACTCCCTCAGAGTCTGATAAGCATATTCTCTGTCATCAAAAACCAGCAGCGACAAATACACAACCTCATCAAGATCCATCCTTCCCAGCAACAAGCCAAGATGGCTTCCCTGTGCAGCCACTTCTGGTCAGGATTGGCCTTGGTGTAATGTCAGGGCTCCGGGTGTGACCAGAAGTGTGTGGACTGACACAGGGAAACGCAAGCTTCAGATATGTTATAAATAAGACAATTTATTAAAGACTAACAATAAAAACATAAACGCAGTGCACCAAACCCCAAGCTAACACAAATACATACAACAAGGTGAAACAAACCCAAACCTAAACTGATACAGATACACAGGTACATACACATATAGAGCACAACGTAATCAGGCAGGCCGGGTCGATAACTATCGGGCAGGTAGGTACAGGAGGAGCAGGCGGAGAGAATATTCAGGGTCACAAGCCAGGGATCAAACAGGAGAAGTCAGCAGAGGTCCGGACCAGGCAGGGTCGGCAACGAATCAGTCAGACAGGACCAGGAACAGGAATGCAGGTAACAAGATACAGGGCCCATAGAAAAACACACACCAAGGCACAGACTGCAGGTCTGGCCATCCCTTAAATACACCTCCGTAATCAGCTTCAGGTGTTTGGCTGGCTGCAGGGTTGAGTCTCTGATTGCTGAGAGCACCCGCTGGTCAGCCCTGGTACTGCAGCCCACAAGGCAGGTGAGTCCCACCATTACTGGCAAGTCTATTCCTGACAGTAGTCTATTTCCTGGTTTACTTCAAGACTGGTGTTGTCTAGTCTCTTTTGGTCAGCTGTGGTGCCTGTTGTCGGTGTTCGTACGGGGAAGCAGTATTCTAACGGAAGTGCCCAAGTGCAGTCTAGAGTCGGTTCCCTTACAATGTGTTCCAGTGTGATCCAGCCTTTAATATGCTAGGAGAGAGGTTAACATTTTTGTTGGGTTTTATTTGTTGTCTGTGACATTACTAGATAGTCTTCCTCTGACTTTCTATCTAAGTTACACTGGAATGAAATGAGAGCGAACAAAAGTAATAGCTGTATTTTTACTCTACTTTTACAGGCAATATGAGGAAAGCCTAGAAAACACTCATGTTTCGGTGGCGTGCAAGTCCTGTGTGACTAACTTAGGCCCAACCACAACAGTAAAACAAATACAAAAAGTAAGCAGCCGCAAAGAAACAACAATGATGTTGCAGTGATGTAATGCCACACATACAAATAAATACATAACGTAACATATTTATGTAACGTATGTAATACTTCAACATATGAAATAATAAGAACAATTTAAAAATGTTATCAAACTCAAGAAAACATAATAACTCACTGCAATAAACTGAGCCTAAAAGCAATACTTATAATCTCAGTGGAACTGAAGCTTAGCCTCATCATCATCAGTTGTTGGCTGTGTGCAAGATAGGCCCAAAAAAGCAATACAAAACAGATATAGTATATGCTCTGTGCATTGCACATGTATGATAAATACCAATATGAAGAGTATGTGCAGGAATGCATATGTAATAGAATAGTTCATGTTCAAAAAATCTATTCAACCAACAACATGTTACAAGCAACTTTTCTTTCCTTAGTGTGCACAACTGTACCTGAGAATTTATATAAGTGCTACAGCTGATTTTAGAATATAGCCATCTCTGACCTCCCAAGAAGGCGATAATGAGTATATTAAGCTAAATTATATTTATCCAAGGCAGAAGAGGAAGCAATCATGTATGTAATGTAATGCCACTGTTCCGTGAAGATATTTAGCTTTGTTTTCTTTCCAGCTATTTCTTGCAGTAAACCCAGGTAAAAAAATACAGTAATAAAATAATGTGCTTTCAGTAAAAAGGAAAATGGTTTTTGATCTTAACAGTGTCTCTCTCTCTTTTCTCTCTCTCTCTCTTTTGCAGTGAAGCTTTATTGTTGTTCTTGTTCTACGTCAGATAAATATATACAGTGTATAAATATATACAGTTGTGTTCAAAATAATAGCAGTGTGTTGAAAAAAGTGAATAAAGCTCAAAATCCTTTTAATAGCTTTTATTTCCATACACACAAATGCATTGGGAACACTACACATTCTATTCTAAATCAAAACATGAAGAAAAATATATCAAATTTGTGTTGTTCCTCTAAAAAAAATTGAAGAAAAGTGAATATTAGACTGTTCAAAAAAATGGCAGTGTTTGTATTCTTCTTTACAAACTCAAACATTCACTATATAAACTGAAAAATGTTTGAAGATTTTGCTTTCCTTTGAATCACTTAATGAATATTTAGTTTGTATAAGCACTGTTTCTGAGAACTGCTGTACATCTGTGTTGCATGGAGTCAACCAACTTCTGGCACCTGTGAACAGGTATTCCAGCCCAGGATGATTGGACTACATTCCACAGTTCTTCTCTATTTCTTGGTTTTTCCTCAGAAACTGCATTTTTGATGTCACCCCACAAGTTTTCTATTGGATTAGGGCTGGCCACTCCATAACGTCAATCTTGTTGGTCTGGAACCAAGATGTTGCACGTTTACTGGAGTGTTTGGGGCTGTTGTCTTGTTGGAACACCCATTTCAAGGGCATTTCCTCTTCAGCATAAGGCAGCATGACCTCTTCAAGTATTCTGATGTATTCAAACTGATCCATGATCCCTGGTATGCGATAAATAGGCCCAACACCGTAGTATGAGAAACATCCCCATATCATGATGCTTGCGCAACCATGCTTCACTGTCTTCACAGTGTACTGTGGCTTGAATTCAGTGTTTGGGGGTCGTCTGACAAACTGTCTCCGGCCACTAGACCTAAAAAAAGAACAATCTTACTTTCATCAGTCCACAAAATGTTGCGCCATTTCTCTTTAGGCCAGTCAATGTGCTCTTTGGCAAATTGTAACCTCTTCAGCACGTCTTTTTTTCAACAGTGGGACTTTGCGGGGGCTTCTTGCAGATAGCTTGGCTTCACATAGGCGTATTCTAATTGTAACAGTACTCACAGGTAACTTTAGACCTTCTTTGATCTTCCTGGAGCTGATTGTTGGCTGAGCCCTTGCCATTTTGGCTATTCTTCTATCCATTTGAATGGTAGTTTTTCACTTTCTTCTTCCATGTCTTTCAGGTTTTGGTTGCCATTTTAAAGCATTTGCGATCATTTTAGCTGAGCAGCCTATCATTTTCTGCACTTCTTTATATGTTTTCCCCTCTCCAATCAACTTTTTAATCAAGGTACACTGTTCTTCTGAACAATGTCTGGAACGACCCATTTTCCTCAGAATTTCAGAGAGAAATGCACTGTAACCAGCATGTACAACATTTGCTGCCTTCCTTCCTTAAATAAGGGCAATAATTGCCACCTGTTTTTCAAAGAATGAATGACCTCACTAATAGAACTCCACACTGCTATTATTTTGAACATGCCCCTTTCAATTAGTGATTCAATTACACAGAATCAGCAGCATGCATGTCATGACTGTTGGGTCTGTTGGATTTCTATTACTCTACTACACCTGCTAGTAAATTATTTGCTATGTAGAAATATAATTTCTACCAAAATCAGTGACTGATCAGGTTAGTGATGTCTGACTGCTATTATTTTGAACACAACTGTACATACATACATGTATATACAATAATGCCAAGAGTATTGGGACACCCCTCCAAATTATTGGATTCAGGTTTTCCAATCACCTCCATGGCCACAGGTGAATAAAATCAAGCACCCAGGCATGCAGACTGCTTCTACAAACATTTGTGAAAGAATGGGTCGCTCTCAGGAGCTCAGTGAATTCAAGCGTGGTACCGTGATAGGTTGCCACCTGTGCAACAAGTCCAACAAGGGGGGAAGCTCTTCTGCCTATTGATTTAGCTTTCGGGACTTCTATCAATTACACTTCCTTAACTTCTTACAAGGGGTATGTTGAAAAATTTGATGTCTGTTTATGAAAAAGCTAAAGATGTCTTGACTGCATGAGAACAAGGGAATAAAAAGAACTTTGACCTTAGGTGCAAGATCGTCTGCTATTGAGAAATTTGGGGATACCAGGAAAACACAAGTTAGCTGATCGATGGCGACCCCAGTCTTTTGTCATCTGCAAACAATTTCCCAGACTTCCAGTTTATCAAATT